TAAAATAGACACAAAATATATGCATGTCTCAATCCTAAATATACTAGTAAAGTTACATGTTTGCAAAGATAACTTTTAAAATGACAAAACTCTCTGTATAGAGTCTAAATTTTGTAGAACTTAATGTTTGTTGCTTTTTTCTTTTTTCTTTTTGATTACAGGTCTAGTTGTTTGGGATTTACATTAAACTTTGCAGACATCTTCAAATCATGTATTTGGTGGCAAACCTCACTACATTCTGTGTTGAATTTTTTGAGAGTGGTGATTTAACTTAAAAGAGAATTTACAATTTTTGTGCCACAAATAAAGCCTGGATTTTCAGCCTTTAATTTATGTTTTAATTATAGCTGAATGGAATTATATATTATAAAGGAAAAGAAGATGTAAATACAACTTGAGGCCATACAGTTTAGCCATGAGCTTTTTTGACAGAAGATATAAAAATAGAATTCAGAGCTTTTAATAGCTATGCAGTTTCCTAGATTACATATAGAAGAGTAAACACTGCTGTATTTGCAAAATGTGCCTTGGATATAAGGTGCTTATTTTGAGGGGTAAAAAGGGGACAAATGTTAAATTTTAATAGATGTGATGGCAAAAACTAATTCATTAAAAATTAAAATAAGTTAATTGCCAAAATGAGAAGGAATCTTGATATAAACTACTATGTAAACATCTCTAAAATATGTAGGTCATTGGGGGGAAATTTGAATAATAAGAAAATACTCATTTTAAAAAGAAATCTCTGAAAACCACTTATGAAATTCATTTTCATAATTAATGCCTAGCATATTCTTAGAAAATTTATTAAAATATGGAGGGAAAAGGAATTGAACGTTATATATTCATCTTTGTTTTTATGAGATATGTTTTTGTCAGTTGCCATAGAGTTGGCTTTGACTTAGGGCAACCACTTATATGTAAGGGAACACAATGCTGCCCACCCTGTGCCACTTTCATGGTCACTGGTAGGTTTGAGTCCATTGTTCTGGCTGTGGTGTCAGTCCTTCCCATTAAGAATTTCCATAGTTTCTGCTGACAATCAACTTTACCAATCATGCTGTTCTTCTCTCTTTTTGCACAGAAGAGGTGTTGATTATTTTATCTATGTTATCATAGCCAACAACAGTATCAAACTTTAACATTCAAAAAGAGGAAGTACATTTCTGTGTGGGTTACATATAGCTGAAGACTAGTTTAAGCACTGAGAAGAATGGCATTATTTTCTTAATCTAAAAATCTGACGGCATGTAAAGCATATTTACTGATATGATAATATTCCTGAGTGTACCTGTAAATATTAAAAGGAAATTAAATTTGTCTGTACATGTCTTTCTAACTGTAAGTTAAAACAAACAAACTCACTGCTATCAAGTAGATTCCAACTCATAGCTAACCCCACTGGGTTTAAAAAAAAAAAAAAAACCTCACTGCCATCAAGTTGATTCTGAGTCATAATGACCCCCTTTGGGTTTCCAAGGTGGTGAATCTTCATGGAAGTAGATTGCTCAGTCTTCCTTCCGCGGAGTGGCTGGTGGGTTTGAACTGCCAAACTTCTAGTTAGCAGTCAAATGCCTCAGGCACTATGCCACCAGAGCTCCTTAATTGTAAGTTAGAAAATATAAAATAATATTAGCACATTGATTGTTGAAGTAGCCAAACTTAAAATTTTAGAGAATTCTAAAGGTGCTTTTAGGATCTTAAGTACAATTTGTCAAAATTATTGTGATAGTTTAGGGATAAAACAGATTATTCTTTAACCTTAAAAATGTTCAAATTAATATATGACCCTTCACTTTTTGGTCTCTTGTAATACAGGATATTTCTTTTACAGAAATATTCTTATACTTTCTCAATGTGAAATAGTGTAACTTTATTTTGATGAACAAACTAACCGAAAAGTTATTGGAATTGTAACTGCTGCAGAAACTTGGAGGCAAAAGGAGATACCTGAAATCTAAACTGGTTTATGTATAATAGAAAGTTTATTAGTTTTCCAATATTGTGTAATATTTCACCACAGTCTCAGTAGCTTAAAACAATACCCACTTATTAACTTACAACTCTGTAGGTTAGAGGTCCAGACATTGCATGACTGGGTTCTGTGCTCAGGGTCTTACAAGGCTGAAATCAAGGCGTCAGCCAGGCTACATTCCTTTCTAGAGGCTGTGGGGGAAAATCTGCTTCCAAGTTCCTTTAGACTGTGAAATTTAGGACTGAGGTATCCATTTTCTTGCTATCAGCCCCGGACTCCATTTAGCTCTTCAGGCTTCCTGCATTCTTTGATACATGGCCCCTTCCATCTTCAAAGACATAAGCAAAAACTCTCTCTAGTTTCAAATTTGTCTTCACAAAGACCTTTTAAAAGCGCCCCAGGATCAGTTAAACTCACAGAGAAAATCTACGTTTTGATTAACTCAAAGTCAACTGATTGATAACCTAATCATGGAAATGATATCTCATAATATTTGCAGATTCTGCCTACTCAAGGGATGGGATTATTCAAGGGAAAGGTAATTGGGGCTCATCTTAGAATTGTGCCTACCATAGAGAGAGGTAAGATCATTGGTGTGAAATCAATGAGAAAGGATAGAGATTTTAAGGTATTGAGTGAGAAAATAGATGGTTGATTAAAAGAATCTGATTATGGGAGGAAAAAGAATGAGAGAAGAGAAAAAGACGAAAACTATAACAGAAAAAGTAACAGAAAAATGTGGAGTTTAGTATAAAACATATTATTTAATAGGCCTCAGGAAATTCTGTAGTCCCTGCGTGGCACAAATAGTTAAGTATTCAGCTACTAATGGAAAAGTTGGCAGTTCAAACCCTCCTAGAGGTGTCTCTGAAGAAAGGCCTGGTGATCTGCTTCTGAAAGTCACAGCCATGAAAACTCTAAGACAGTTCTACTCTACATACCTGGTGTCAGCATGAGTTGGAATCAACTAAAAAGCAACTGGTTTTTGGTAAACTCTATTGCAGAGTTTAGAAGATCTGGTTGCGTAGTGGATAAGACACTTGACTGCTAAATGGAAGGTCTGTGGTTCAAACCTACTAGCTGCTCCATGGGAGGAAAGACAGGCAATCTACTTCCATAAAAGATTTATAGCCTTGGAAAGCCAATGGGGTCACTATAAGTTGGAAACAACTTGATGGCACTGAGGTTTTTTTGTTTTGTTTTGTTTTTTTCAGAGTTTAATGGTACATCCCTAAATACAATGAATAGCATGAGCTTTTCTTTATTTCTGGACATAACTAAACATATATAAGATATTGAATGTTGCAGGGGGGGTTGGACAAGTGAATGAATAATGGTGCATAAAAAGTAATTACATTCTTATCTGCCTATAATTTTACTGCAAACACAAAGTTCTGTGTTGTGCACTGAAAATCTCTAAAAAAATGAAAACTAATGAAGCATTGCTACAGTGTAAACCTATTGTTTTTATATTCCAAACCAAATTCACTGCCATCGAGTTGATTCTGACTCATAGTGACCTCTATAACATTTCCAAGGCTATAAATCTTTATGGAAGTAGACTGCCACATCTTTCTCCCATGGAGTGGCTGGTGAGTTTAAACTACCAACCTTTGGTTAGCACCCAAATGCCTGCACTGTCAGACCTCTTATATTATAAATAAATAAAGGTTGCACAAAAAAATATGTGTCAGGTATGATGCCATGCACATTACATAAATGAGTTTAGGATCCCATTCGTTTTTCTTTTTTGTTTGTTTGTTTGTTTTTGTTTTTAATTTAAGTTATATTAGAAACGGAATTAAAGAGTAGTTTAAGATTTTGTTCTTACTGCAATTTGGCATATTTGCATAAATTTTTATGGCCTGAAAGACCATGACTATCTTGTTCCTTAGATTTGTTTTGAGGGGATTAATGTTACTACTCATTTTATAAATATCAATTATGAGTTTTGTTTCATAACTACTCTCAAGTTGGTGTATATAAGCAAACTTTTTACTCAGTAAAGTAAATTTACTTTCCTTTTCTTCTCTCTCTCCCTGAAACCTCTAATTAAAAGAAAAAGGTATTTTAGAATTTCCCAAATGTTTAAAGACTTTATGCCTAATAAACTTGGAAACTATTTCATGCTACATTCTCTGCTTAGAAATTCAAAATTCACATTACTATATTAAAGGAACTGAGGAGCCCTGCAGCTTTTATTGTGTTTTAATATCTTCACCTAGTACTAATGGTTCCTTTATTACAGAGCATTGAGACCATTATTTTGATCTCATTTTTCTTTTCAGGGTCACTTAAGGTTTGAGATTATCTAGTAATTCTAGTTCATGAGAAATTGGGGTTTATATTAGATACACTTTTTCAAAAGTTATGGTCCAAATTGTGAGCTGTTATGAAGATCATTTTCTCAGCTCAGTTTCTAAAACATTGCTAATAAAGTAAAAAACATTACTAATTCTAAAACATTACTAATAAAGTAAAAAAGCTATAAATGTTGTGTAGCATGGCACACTGATTAACATTTCAAAGATCACTGAAAAAAAGCTGAAAACTTCCTCTTACATTACTCCACTTCTGCCTCTTTCCTCCTTACATTTCTTTTTCCTCAACTATCTTTTAAGATTTTTGTATTTTCCCTTTGAATGTATTAAATTAATGCTTATCTTTAATTAATTGACTGCAGTACTTTTAATGGAGTTATATCAAGTTTCTTTTTATTCTCATGTGATTCATACTTGATTACTCTTACAGATTATGACCATACCCATCTTTATTGTGACATTTCAGAAATTAGTTTGAAAAAGATAATTTCTTATTTTCTGTCAAGAAATGATAATCAGTGATGTCAAAGCAGTCTGTTTTTTAGAGGTAAATTCTGAAAAGAATAGCACTTAGTTTATGTTGTATAAAGCATACTCAACACTTACTAGGGGAAAAATGGCAATAATGAAAAAAACGTTTTTTGAGACCTATAATTTTGAAATGTCTGTTCTAAATATATGCTTTGTGTATATTTTTGCTTTAGGAGTACAAGATCCTCAGCATGAGAGAATTATTACTGTATCTACTAATGGAACTATTCACAGTCCGAGGTTCCCTCATACTTATCCAAGAAATACAGTCTTGGTATGGAGATTAGTAGCAGTAGAAGAGAATGTATGGATACAACTAACATTTGATGAAAGATTTGGGCTTGAAGACCCAGAAGATGACATATGCAAGTAAGTTATCATGCTTGAAATTCCAACAGAGTGTAGCAGCTGTTACAGTCTTTCTTATTACTTCATTTTGATGATGTAATTTTAAATGGCATCTTTTGTTCTATTAAAGGAGCCCTAGTGGCTCAGTAGTTAAGTGCTCAGCTCTAACTGAAAAGTTGGTGGTCGGCGGTTCAAAATGACCAGCTGCTATGCAGGAGAAAGAAGTGGCAATCTGCTTCCATAAAGATGTACTACTTTGGAAACCCTGTTCTGTCATATTTGGTTGCTTTGAGTCGAAATCAAATCAATGTCAATAGGTTTTTGTTCTATTAAGTTTTTCTGATGATGTAAGAAATCAACAGCCCTATTTTAGCTATGTTTCATTTAAAACTAGAGAATACATACATGTACATATATAGTCATTTTCTACCTACTTTTGAAAATAATTTGCAGTAATTTATGATGAAAATACATAGAATAAAAAACAGAAAAACAACAACAAAACAACTTATGCTGTCAAATTGATTGTGATCTATGGCAACCTCATGTGTGTCAAAGTAGAACTAAGCTCTATAGGTTTTTCAGTGACTGAGTTTTCAGAAGTAAAACACTAGACCTTTCTTCTAAGGTTCCCCGCTGGGTAGACTTGAGCCCCCAAACTTCACATTAGCAACCAAGCACTTAAATGCCATTTAAAATAAGTAATTAAGAACAAAAGCCAAGTAAAGAAATAAAGTTGTGCCACAGTTGTGCTAAGAATTTTATATTTGGTTTTCCTGAAAGCCAGATCAATAAAATAAAAAATAAGCTGTTTTTTTTTAACTGTAGTCATGTATAATTAAAATTATAGGGATATATATGCAGAGAATTAAGAAGTTTGAATATTCCTCCACAAAGAAGAAATTCAGTTCAGATCAGTAACTCAGAATTAGAAATTTAGGCTAATGTGCCTTGTCAGGTAGGAATTCATCATAATTCTCTTAGAAGCATTCATGAAACAAAGTCAGCTGGCTTATTTCATCCATGCAAAAGACCACCTACTGTATATGTCATACAAATATTACTCTAAATCCCATGTGAATGCACTTGTCAAGGTTGGGTGGTCTTGGAAATTTTTCAGTTCACTGGCATTTGTGTATCATGAAAATATTTTACTTTAGCGTATTTGCAAGTTTCTTTATTTTCTCTTTGATATACAGTGTTAAAAGGGAATTTTCTTTTATGGCATATTATAAATAAATATATTAATACAGATGAAATAAACTTTGTACTTGCTGTCATCATAATTTGTATCTTTAGCATAGTTATATTTTTATCACATGACTTCTTTGTGTGACTATGCATTTCGTTTGTTTTTTCTACTTACATATCTCATTTTAGACTTTGAGAAGCTATTGAGCTATCTTTAAAGACTGAATTATTTAACAATTCATCATATAAATAAGGAAACTGAGACATGAGAAGTGAAACAGAAGTCCCTATATCTCATTTATGTTTTGTGCCTAAACATGTACTAAAATTAGTTTTTGCTCACACCTGTATATATAGTTTCACTATGTAATACTGCACCTCATGTCTCCTTTTTATAAAGAAGACTCTCTTGCTACAAACTGTAAAAGGTCTGAGGTTCTACTCTATTTGCATAGATAGCCTACCACAGTTACATGGATGCTGACAAAAGACATAAGATTCCTGGGTCACAAACATACAACTGCACATTACAGCTATAGCAGTAGCTAGAATATTAGCATTATCTTGTGCCTATTTTCCAACTCTTTCCCAACTCCCCAAGTGAAGGCTGAGGGGGCCAAATGACACCTGTATATGTAGTGAGTTGTGTTATAGCACAGGAACATTATGAAGTGTGTATATATGTAAATATTTGCATGTATGCATGCAAAATAATTGTGTAGTTAAATAATAAAAAATAAACAATCACCCAGCTTGCTATCTACAAGATTAAAAAAGGTGACACTTCCAATGTTTTTGAAGCCTCCCATGTCCTTCCCTGTCTACATCCCCTTCTTGTCCCTCCTAATATAACCAATGCCCTAAATTTTGTTACTCATCCTCCTACTTCTCCCTGTAATTTTACCACATGTATATAGTTCCTTGCATAATAAAGTGCTTATTTTAAACTGTTTTGAAATGTATATACAAAATGCATACTACATATTTTCTATTGTGACTTGATATATATTTAAAAACAAGCAAAACTAAATATTAAGTTTTCGATTAGTTCATGTTGATACATTTGTTTTCATTGATATATATATAGATATATATAGATATATATAGATATATATAGTAATCTGTCATATAAATACTCAACTTTTTCCCATCAGTTCATTTACTGATGAATGTTTAGCTTGTGTTCACTTCTCTTGTGCAAGAAATGCAAGAAAACTTTCTTTTCCTTCTGTATAAAAGAATGATATTGTTGTCTTAAGATATTCATATTTTCACCTTTACCAGGTAAAGTTAAAATGTTTTTAAAAGTGGTTGAAATATTTACACTTCTACCAAAACTCTATAAGAATTTCTGTTGTACCACATTTTCACCAACCTTTGAATTTGTCATCCCTTTTATTTTTGTTAATACAAGGTACAACATTACATAACTGCCAAATTATGTAATTACATTACTTCCAAACCGCTGAGAATCATGGCCCAGCCAATACATAACATTAACTACCATAACCAGTGTTCTTACATTGGACCTTGGTGTTCATTACTGCCAGACTTCAATTGTTAATGTGCACAATATTCCAATGGTAGAATTTTTATTGTTGCCATAAATGCAGAATGTAGGATAATGAGATAGTTGGTAAGTGAGGACTAGGAGTATAAGTGTGAAACTGACATGGTTATTATTTTTGTTTTGATTTTCCTGAATACACATAAAGTTAAACAATTTTCATATTTTTTTTGGCTGCTCAAATTTCCTTTTCTGTGAAATGTCTGCTTAAATCTTTTGCCCAGTTTTTTCTTGGATTATTTTTATATTTAAAAATTACTGTTCATGTTTAAGTCCTTGATCCCTCTGGAATTTATATTTTTCTGTGATGTGAAATTTTTCATTAGATTATCCAATAGTGTCCCAACATCATTCTTTCTTGCAATGATATATAAACCCAGCTGACTTGTACATCAGGTTTCTTTATGTAATCTGCTCTATTTGGTTGACTGTGATTGTTTGTGCACCATAATGTCAATGTCTTTATTACTGGAGACTGGATATATGGAAAATTGCATCTCATTTTCTTCTGCTATGAAAATGTCCTGGCTATTATGTTTTCTAACATATTTTTTAGAAATAGATTGTCAAGTTCCTTGAAAAATCCTCTTGTGGTTTTTATTGTGGTGGCATTGAATCTATGGATCATTTATCAGAGAATTGATGTTTTTGTAATGTGAGTCTTTTTATCCTTGACCAATTTATATGTCTGCATTATTTGGATCTGCTTTCTGTCTATGCAGTTTTAGAATTTTCTTTATAAAGATCTTGCAATCTATTATTTATATTTATTTCTATATTATTTATAAACGTTATTACTTGCATATTTCTTGAACAATTTCTCTTAGAAAGATCAGCACTAGGCTGGTCCCCATGAGGCGGAGGTCAAAGATGTCCCAAATGTCCAAACTACCATGCCACTCCATCATTTCAGACATTAACTCCTCCTCCTCCTCCCCCCCAATAATTTCCCCAGTCTTAGGGTTCTGTATTTCGCTGTAATGCCTCACAGAACTCACAGACACCCAAGGGTTCGTCTCACGTAGTAGTGGTGGAGGCTGGCAGGCTGGCGAGTCCCAGGTCCGTGAGTAGGTCTGGCGGATCCTCCCAACTCTTGGGGTTTGATGAACCTCGATCAGCAGATCAGATGACGGCTGCTGTCCCAAATCCAGGCGTGAGATGAGGATGATCCAAGACACAAAGCCTGAGCAAGAGGAGAGCGAATCTTCCCAGGAGATTATACTCTCAGGGAAGCTAAGGGTGGTGATTTGAATTATACCCTCCAGCATGGCAGGACTCAAGATAGATTCCACCTGTGTTGCCCCAACAGAATTAACCTAAATCCCATCACAGAGTTGATTGCCAGTCATTATAGGGAATGACTACTATCAGCTGCCCAGCCAAGTTGATACCTGACCTTAACTACCACAGCACCCAAAACAGGCATGGATAATGGGATTTACAAAACATCACAGAATGGAGGATAATGGCTAGAAGGGCCACATCAAGCAATTCACTGCATTGCACCCCCTGGCTCTTCTAGCCATTAGCCCTTTCATAGTTGAAAGATTAATTTGCCCCTCCCAATTATATTACCCAAGGTCATTAATAATTAGTCTCTCAGCAAGGCAAAGAGTCCTGAGGGTGAGATTATTCAGATACCAGCCATTCAAGTCTGCTGTATTTGTCTATCTGAGCCAAAAGTTTTTTCTCATTATCATCTTTATAGTATCTGATAATATTTAACTGAGATGATATAATTCCCTTGTTCTGAGTCTATCTTTAGGTATCAGCACAATGTTCGATTTCCCCTGCTGCATAACCCATTTATTCATTCCTTTACCTTCAGCAATTATTTCTCCTTCCTTCCATTCGTCATTTATTTTTACCCAAACTTTCTCACCTTGGGAGGGGACATCAAATTCAGCTGTTGTGCCTATCCATATTGCTGGTAGCAAGATCAGTCTAGCAAGTGCTTCCCACTCAGTCCATTCCCATTCATGCTGGGTATGGTTACACAGATACAAAACCAGTGGACTATCTCGACCACTGGGCAGGATGGTAGTATTCACTGTCA